CTTAAAATGGTAAATAATTATATTATAACAAACTAGGAATCACGGACATGGATGGGGTAACAAAGATATAAAACTACACAACACCGACACACCTCCACGTCATTTTCGAAAAAACAGTAGAAAACTAAGGAATCATATAATATTTTTATTTTGTAATATACCATCAATTTTTTTTTTTTTATCGAGATAGAAAAACTTAATACACGAGTTGAACATATTTACAGTAATAGAGAAAAGAAAAAAGAAAACTATAAATTGGTTTGTAGCTTTAAATTGGATTACTCAAGATGTGATAAAAACAATTAGTTGATGGAAGAGTGCACAGATATCAGAGGAATTTTAAATCTTTGGTAATCACTATTTACCACATCCTTTTCTAACATATTTAGGGTTTGTTTGAGCCCCATTTCTGGGAGAATAGCTTTTGAAATAAAGATTTTTTGAAGAATGTGTGTTAAACATGAGGAAAATTTTATTGAGAAAATGTATGGTTGAAATTTGAGGAAAATTAAGTTTTAATGAATGGGAATAAAACAGAGGCTTAATTCTTCTTCCACTTTTTCATCCTCAATAGAACCTAGAAGGTTATCATATTAAAATGTAACTCATGTTTTTCTAATGAAAGTTACGTTGTAACACCCGTGTCCTTCATGGTTCCCAGCGTGTCCAAGATTGGCAAAATAGCAGAATTATTATAAGTTTATACTCCATGCTAAGTTAATAAGATGCATTATGTAAATTGCTCATAATGACTTGGGCAGCTAGTATTCGGCAAAATAAGTTTTAAGCATTTCAGTCTATAGTTTAGATCCAATATATGTCCAAGGCCTGTTGTTCCAGCTCGGGTCTTTGCAAGTCATACCAAGAACACCCTACCTCGTGTGACCATTTCTACTTGAATAGCCTGGACTTGTGTAATAATCATCTAACAGTTCCATACAGTACCAACATATTTTTTATTTTTTTTTTGGAATGGTAATCAAGTATTTTATTAATCAAACCATAATACACAGGAAGTGTATTATTAGTACAAATCCGTAAGAAATGACATAAAATTGGGCAACCCATCTATATGACTAGTAGCCACCGCATTAAACCAAGTGTACAATGTGAAATAAAACAATTCTCTAAGTTGCTCTGTTGTTCTTGTTTGATCGTCAAAGTATCGACAGTTCCTTTCTCTCCACACACACCAAACTATGCAGCCCGGAATAAGCTCCCATGCAAGTCTGCTATCCTTGTCGCGAAATTTTCTCCTCCATGCCTTTAACACGTCTTCCATACGCCTTGGCAACGCCCAATCTATGTGTTGCGATGCGAAAATTTCATTCCATAGTAAACTAGCAACATCATAATGGAGGAACAAGTGATCGATCGTCTCCCCATTCCTCTGACACATAAAGCACCACTCTGTAATACAAAAACCCCTAGTCCATAGGTTATCTGCCGTCAGCACCTGTCCTCTGACCACTATCCATAGTAAAAATGCTACTCGTGGTGGCAACTTACTCTTCCACACCGCCTTCCAAGGGAAAGAGCTGGTCTCAGGTCCCAATAAAGATTTAAAGAAAATGCCGACTGAAAACATGCCATCCTGTGCCAACCTCCACCTGTTGCAATCACCATCTCCTGCCCTAATTTATACCTCATATAAAGATGTCAAAAACAGCGCGTAGTCGTCTAACTCCCAATCCTGCAAACCTCGTGCAAAAGCAATGTTCCAGATGATATTCCCATTATAAATATCTAGAACATCATTCACCATGGCAGACGGCTACAATGCAATACGATACAAGGAAAGAAATTTCAATCTTAGTGGTTGATCTCCACACCAACAATCATCCCAAAAATTGATAGTATTACCATTCCCTACTACAAACGTCAATTTATCTCGAAAATCACTCCACTCTCGCCGGATATACCGCCACAGACTCACCCCATAAGAGCTTCGACTCTTGACTAAACACCATCCCCCCTCCATAACACCATATTTTGCTCCTGTAATTTCTCTCCAAAAACTCCCCCTCTCCGTTCCAAATCTCCACAACCACTTACCCAACAAAGCTTTATTAAACAATACGAGACTCCTCAATTCGAGACCACCCAACCTCATGGGAGAACATACGATACCCCAATTAACCAAGTGTAATTTCCTCTCCTGCCCTAATCCTCCCCAAAGAAAATACCTTTGGATCCTCTCCAATCTTTTTGCCACTGCAATAGGAATAGGAAACAACAACATGAAGTAAGTAGGGAGGTTCGACAATGTGGACCTTATGAGAGTAAGACAACCTCCCTTTGAGAGGTACATACGCTTCTACCCCGCAAGCCTTCTCTCCACCCTTTCAATAATACTATTCCAGATATGTGTGCTTTTAAATCGAGCGTCTAAAGGCAGCCCAAGATATGTCATAGGCAGTCGCGCAACCCTGCATCCTAGTATAGCAGCCAACTCCACCATGTTATTATCCACCTCTCCTACTGTGATAGCTTCAGATTTCCCCAAATTAATTTTCAATCCAGATACAGCTTCAAAGCACAAGAGCAAACGTCGCAAATTCCTGATTTGCTCTACCTCTGCATCACAGAAAATCAGTGTGTCGTCTGCGAAAAACAAATGAGTTACCTGTAACTGCTCAACCATAAAGCCCCTTAGTAAACTCTCCCCCAAGCCCCTTAGTAAACTCTCCCCCACAGCCTTCTCAAGCATCTTACTGAAAGCCTCCACTACAATGACAAACAGCAACGGGGATAAAGGATCCCCTTATCTCAAACCTCTGCTACTACGAAAAAAACCCTCCGGAATGCCATTCACCAAAACTGAAAAAGAAACTGTGGAGATGCAAAATTGAATCCACTTACACCACTAATCCCCAAAGCCACATCGCCTGAGCATATACAAGAGAAATCTCCAATTTACGTAATCATAAGCTTTCTGAATGTCAAGCTTACATAGCAGTCCAAGAACACCCAGGCGCAATCTTAAGTCAATGCATTCGTTTGCTATAAGTACTGAATCCAAAATCTGGCGTCCTTTAATGAAAGCATTCTGAAACTTGGACACCACTTTTTCCAGCACCTCCTTCAATCTATTTGTCAAAATCTTCGCAATAATCTTGTAGATACCGCTCACAAGGCTAATAGGACGAAAGTCTTTAATATCCGTCACTCCCATTTTTTTGGAATCATCACAATAAATGTAGCATTGGCACTTCTCAAGAACCTTCCACATTGAAGAAATAAGTAAGGACTTCGACAATGTCCGATCGAGCCACTTCCCAACAAGTCTTATAAAACGAGAATGAAAATCCGTCCGATCCTAGCGCCTTATCATCATTCATGCTGAACACCACCTCCCTAATTTCATCCTCCCCAAAAGGCCTCTCTAACTAGCTGGCTTCCTCCTCAGATATAGAAGAAAACTCAAGCCCTTCCAATTCTGGCCTCCAGTCAAACTGCTCCTGATACAGGTTCTGATATAAGCTTACCATTTGGGTCCCGATCTCATGTAGATCCTCAAAGGTAACGCCTTCTACCTTCAACATATTAATAGAATTGTTGCGCCTATTGAAGTTCGCAACCCTATGGAAAAAGCGGGTGCATTTGTGCCCCTCTTTCAACCACTTGATCCTAGATTTCTGACGCCAAGTAATCTCCTCCATCTCCACCAACCTCTCCAATTCTTCCCTTAATTCTCCTCGTGTCACCCTCTCTTCCCCTGTCAGTCCTCTACTTTCCTCCCTCCTATCCAGCTCCTCAATGACCGATAAGCATTGAGTTTTGCAATGGTTAACATCTCCCACCAATTCCTCATTCCACCTCTTTAGATCTATTTTCAACGCTTTCAATTTGCAATCCAACACATAACTGGGAGATCCCCTGAAGTCATAAGACATCCACCAAGTCCGTACTCGTTCCCCAAAACCATCTACCTTAAGCCACATCTTTTCAAACCTAAAAGGTTTTTTTCTAGCACGCCTCACATTCCCAGATAACGATATAGGGAAATGATCAGAATACAATCTCTCCATTCTCCTCTGAATGACCTCTGGATACTTAGCCTCCCATGCTCCACATACCAAAAACCAATCTATTCGGGATAGGATAGGTTGATCCCGACGAGAAGACCAAGTAAAGTCTCCCCCCAATCATAGGCAGATCCACCAGCGCGTTCTCCCTGATAAAATCTGAAAAGTCCTCCATAGCCCTTGTTAATCTCCCCCTACTAGACCTCTCAGTAGTAAAACGAATTAATAAAATCTCCCCCGATACACGTTGGAAGGTTCCACCAAGCCATCATACCAGCCAATTAAACCCACAATCCACTTCTATGCTCATCTACATTAGGCCCATTAACTCCTACGAACATCCACCGGAAGCTATCCTCGATATTTCTAAATGAGATCGATAGAAAAAACAGACATTCGCTAACCTCCTCCATATCAAAGACTCTGGTGTCCCACATTATCAGTATACCTCTCGAGGCCCCCGAGGACCCTGCAAACTGATACCCCACATGCTGTCCCCCCATAGGCTACTCACAAAATCCCTTGACACATCCTCCACCTTTGTTTCTTGTGAACATACAAGGTCGGCCCTCCATTTCCTCAATAGATTTCGAACTCCTAACATTTTCCCTAGTTCATTAAGCCCACGTACGTTCCAACTAATTATTTTTAGAATCATCTTAAAACTTCATCATCCCTCCCCATCACGCCTCTACTCGACTCGCCGCCCTTAATATCATAGTTAATTGAGCATTCAAGCCGCCTAAACTCACGAACGCTCTTACTTCTCGTCTTACCTCCTGGCGTCCCCATCCCTTGTCCCTTGCTAGCCTCCAAATCCTCAAACAATTGTAAGAGCCTATCTTCATACCCATTACAGGACACTCCTACCATCTTGCTAAAATCCAGAATTCTTTGAAGAACCCAATTAGAAGGTGGTGGTCTGACGTGAAGTGCACTAACTTTCGTTATCTCATCAGCATAAATAGGATCGTAGTAGTGTCCCTCCTCTTTCTCCACCTGTTCAGCAACATTATCTGTGTTTCCTTTCTCAGCGCCACCCATTCACACCACCAACGCATTATCATTCTCTAGACCCCATTCATTCGAAGACTTAGCGCTTCGCCTGCTATAGGTGTTCACTCCCTTAGTGGCCGGGCATGTTTTCCCATGCTGGTCTTCAAGTGCCGACCCTGAGTGTTCACCCAGTTCAAGTCCAACTTCTTGCACATCATCATGCATCGATCCTTTTACAAGTGGAATCGTGTCTAATGACCCCACGATCGTAGAACAAATAACTCTGTTCGCTTCCAAAACTTCTGAGGTAATATTCATAATGCCCTGCTCTCCTCCTTCCGTCCGAGGTTCCATCCCTTGATATGCCTCGATCCTTAGTTCCACTCCACCCCTTTTCGATCCTTCTATCTCCTCTCGATTCTCATCTCTAGAAGAAATGTCCACATCAGACACCGTCTGGGACTCGCTACAGGGCTTATCCAACACCTGCTGATCTTTAGCCGGAACCCCTATCGGCACTGGCTCCTTAACATCCAAATTAACTGACTCCTCCAATCTCACCCCACACTAATGACAATAGCTTGACCTAGACCCCACTATAGACCCACTTTCCACAACCTTTATCAATCCATCCAATTTTCCTTTCAACGCCTGTATGCGAGCCATTATTTCGACATGAGGGTCATTTCTCCCATTGCCCACCCGTTCCTTCTGCAACAGTACCATCTGATCAGTACTTTGCGAAGCCCGTGCATTTGCCGTGACTTCCGCATAAGTCATCCCTCGTCGGCTTCTTTCGTCATATGTTTGACGTACCACCTTGTCCCTGGCCACAAAGGAAGCAATGACTACTTGGAACATGCATGAAACCGATTCCCATCCCTCTCCATTTGCACCTACCGGCACCATTACAACCCCCCTTTGCCGCCTCTCCCCATACTGTGCTACCATGAGAAACCTGTCATGACTGTTTACACAACAGTGCGCCAAGACAGCACAGGAAGATTCATTAAACTTGGCAACGAATTCCTCCATCTTACTAGCCCTCCTTAACTTTTCCACCATGTTCACCATCCACATGACTTTCTAAATTTAAAAAGAAAAAACAATCGTGTTCTAAGAAATTTCTGTTTTTGCTTTTGGATAAAACACTTCATAAATAAGGAATTTCAAACCATGCACAAGTGGAATTATGTGAATGGTCTATATGGACTTGGGTCCAAGCTCTTACATTAGGAGTCTCTTCACATGTCCAACCCTTTCGGAGTGTCTCCATGTTTGATACCCACAAGAGTGTCCTTACTTCCTACGTTACAAAGCTAAAAATAAGTGCAATACTTGATCTAGTTGAAGGTGTTTGTTTCTCACCTCCTTTTCATGTAGCAATATATTAGATAAACAAGAAATCACATTTTATTACAGAACGACTCATGATGTATCCAAGACCCTTCTCTGTGAGCTTGCCAAGCCACAAAAAATTGATCGAACAAAAATTCATATTGATAGCAATTAGCACGTCATTTATTTTCAGTAGAGTGAATTTACTTATTTTTGTGTCAAATCATGAAGAAATGTTTATTCCTTAACTTTCAGACTTTCTAGTAAAAGTCCTTTTGAAAGTATACAAGAATATAATGTCTCCCTCAAACTATAACTCAATAATATAATGCAGCTTCAATTATACATTTTTTTGTTTAGAAATAAAGTAGACATCAGACATTCAAAGAGAAGGATACTCTATTTCAAATGAAGTTGAATATTTGAACACAAAAACTTGATTCTGACTCATTCAATTAGCCAGAAGAAGTCAATTTCAGGAAAGGATAAGACTGTGATCAGGTAAGCTAGGCTCCCTAATCAAATAATTGGAAACTAAAAGACTCGAGCAAATTCTAGTCAAGGGCTGCCTGAGTTGTTAAGAGATAAAAGGTACCATAATGCTAAGCCAGAGAAGCAATGTAGATGCAATTCAATTCCCTGATAGTAGTACAGCATATAGAAAAGCAGAGGTAAAACCTGGTCCAAGAACTCTAACAATACAATTAGACTCTTCCTGAATGGATTTGACCGTCGTGCCTTGCCTTCCAATCAAACTTCCTGCTTGTGCAGCCGGTACAAGTAGCCTTGTTGATACCTTGTTCCCTACACCTGCTGGAGCATGAGAAGAATCATTTTCCAGCCCATTCAGAACCTGTTTGTGGACCCTAAGTAGACCATCTACTGCAGATGGAAGTGAAACATCAGGGTCTTCCTTGGCAGATACCATAACCTATCCGGGTGGGGAGAGAGAAAGCAACATTGCCAATGTTATGAACTCCTCCATCGTAAATATTGGATTTAAATAAACAAGAAAAGAGACCCCTTTGTAAGAGTGATCAGAAAAACCTAAATAGTTCTAAGATGAATAATAATGTTGAGCTTAGATCAGTAAGAAAAACAAAAAAGCATGATTACATTACGACCCTGTTAGGCGCCCTTTAAAACTCATCAATTTAATTTAAATTTTTCTCTCTCCTATTTTCCATCACACAATCTTCAATAAAATAATATTTCACGCAAATCGAAAACTTTTCATTCTTTTACAACCATCCATTTTTCAAAGAAACCCTATTCCCCCCATTATAAATCCAAATAATGGGGGCCAAACGGGGGCTACATGTACAAATTTGTCTCGTCAAGAAATGTAAAGGAAAGAGAAAAAAGTGCATCTAACAAGTGAGATTGAAGGATTGGATGGGTATTTCAGTTAAAACATACTGAGTTGGGAAGGGGAATGGAGATAATTTCATGTGTCTTAACATTTATCATTTAAAAGAAATCACAATAGTGGAAGGTGAAACTTTTACATGCATGAGGTACAAAAAATTAGAAAAGTTAAAATAAACAATAAGAACATACAAATTCATAAGCAATTGGCCTGAAAATAGAGACCATCACGCAATACATTCAAAAGCAAGGAAAGAAAAGTGAAAGAAATACACAAACATGTAATCTGCACAAAACGCTAAAAGGCATTGAGATGAATTTGACACAAAATAATTGTATAGCATATCAATAGTTACATCAGGGCAGGTGACATATAGATGTTTTAAGATAATTGATAAATTTTGTTTTTATGAACACTCTTGTCCTTTGTAAGCCCTCGTGAGGCAGCTTCACCAATATATTTACATAACAAAAACACTAAATCATGGCACCATATAACATTTTTTTTTTTTTTTGGGGATAGGTGGCACCATATAACCTTATAAATATGCACATGTGGGGAATGTCACCAAGGTTGTTGAATCCCATGGTAATACAAGTAGTTAAACAGCCCATATTGCCAAAGCAAAGGTTATATCTGACGTATGCTCATGAAAACATTCAAAGAAAGTAGGACTTTCCTTCTATTCACTTGACAAAGAAGCGATTTGTGCCACAAGTATCAGTGGCATGGAAAGCTCCCAAGCCGTATCACAGATAGATACACCTAGCCTCTCTACATCTTGGTAGAAAATAAGCAAAACACAGATGTTGAATGAATGGTGCTAGTATGGTAAAACTGATTGGGGAATTGATAAGCAAATGTGCCAAAAATACATTAGGAAATAAATGCAAAGGCATAAATCTGTCTTTTAAAATTAGAAAGCATGGAGCAAAGCATTTCACATTTCATGAACCAGTGCTTAAGCACTATAATTACTATAGACCATAAATGTTGCATTGCTTATAACTTTTTCAAGCACTCTTGCAAACTCATATATCAAAAATATAAATGGTAAACAAATACTATATAACAGAAATATAAACATGGTATACAACTGTTTACTGTATTTCCAAATACGTGTATTCACACAGTTCAATCTATGGCTATTAAACAGTGTTCCGCAGCTGATTTATTACGCATACCAACTCCAACAGGAAAGATGTATTTATGCCAATAAAATAATATCCTCATAATCCTATTAAAAGAACATGAACTGGAGAAGCAGAAGGTCAGAAGTATGAGCTTATAAAATTTCTTAGCCAGCTCAAAAATTAATTTGAACTTGTAAAACTAATGATAACCAGCGAGAACCTATGACACATGTTGCAACAATCGAAACATCCAAATTAAACAGAGAATATAGACTGAAAAAACAATGAGCACTAATCAATTCTGTAATATCCGCCAGCCCACAAAAATCCAAAGTAAGATGTTAAGTCACAGAATAAAATTTCACTTACAGCTCTTTCTCTCGTCCCTGGAGGACCATCAAGAACCTTAATCCGAGCTTTTGTCTCTTCACATGTTTTTTTAATATACTCCCCCTTACGTCCAATTATACTACCAACCTTTTGTACAGGCACCAAAATCCTGAAAACACTCTCTCCAGGCCACCCAGGCCATTTCTCACCCTCTGCAGCAACTGAATCATCTCCGAGATCTAGTTTATCATCAGGATGTGAATTCTCTGGTATTCCATCTTCGAATTCATGTTCATATACATCCACATCTTCAAGTTCTATTTCTTGTTCTTGTTCTTGTCCTTCCCCTTGCCCTTGCCCTTGCCCTTGCCCTTGCCCTTGCCCTTGTCCTTGTCCTTGCTCATTATGCTCTTGCTCTTCATTATGCTCTGGCTCTTGCTCTTGCTCTTGCTCTTGCTCTTGCTCTTGCTCTTGCTCTTCATTATGCTCTTGCTTTTGCTCTTGCTCTTGCTCTTCATTATGCTCTTGCTCAATAAAACTCTGATCAAGTTCAGCCATGAGCTCTGTCCTGAAAAAAAGAAGTGCAAAGGTGAATTAATTCTGCTCAACAGCTGAGTGGAAATTAACTATTCACAAAGTAATACATTACCAGTTCATACAGAAACAATTAAAATGTGATATAAAGAGGTCCAATTTTTGTGCTAGAAGGAAACACAACAGTAACCACTATATGAGGCCATCTACGCGAGATAAGCAGGCCATATGAATGGTAATATCTCTTCATTAATTCTAAGGGAACTTTCAAAAGATATGAAACCAAGAAAGAGAGATAAAAACACAGAAAGTTTGCTTTAAATTGATGGGCTGAGAAGTTTTTCCCTCTAAACAGTATACTATTAACATGACACAAGTAAAACCAGGAAATCCATTGGATGCGATCAACCTGTCAGATAATCAGCTGCAAATATTCGGACTATACATACGTGTGGACATCAAAGTGCACAAAATCAAACCTACCCAAGCACAAGCTTGTGCAGAGACAGAGAGAGAGAGAAAGAGAGAGATCCCATTGATTTTACATTGAAGCCGCAAACTAAGGAAATAATGCAATATAAAATATCAGCAGGGCTTTATCATTTTCATTAATAAAAGGAATATGTGAAAGAATGTTATCATATCTCTAGCATATAATTTTGTCATACATTTACGTTAAAAGCATGGGGAAATAACTGTAAATGTACTTGTTTCAATATACTTCATATTCTCCAAAATGTACTATGAATTTTTATAAAATAAAAGGGAAAGACAAAGTAAATAAAAAAATTATGACAGCTGCAACTAAAATATATCTATTTCCATCAAAATCAGCACATTTTGCTATAAGATAAAATTTTTAGCTGATCTTATAAAGGGCACACAAAGAAAGCAGTATATCCATTGCAGTGGGCATGCCAGGCTTTTAATATATATAACTTGTAATAAAATATTTTAATATAACCTTAAACAGAGAAATACAAAGCATAATTTTGCACATGATAGTAGTGCATGTTCAAGGTACCCATCCTCTTGCAGAGCTATTACATCAAGAGAGTTGAAAGAATGGCACAATTTCCTGAATGAAGAGAATCATCGACAGAGAAAACAGTTTCCAAGCTATGAAGTTCTTTATTTGTTCTTGTCCTTTATCTTCATTTCATGTGAATTTTTTTTTTTTTTTTAATTACATATATTGATGTCTTCTAAGTTCCAATTTATTCACAATGCAAAAATGCCTAAAACCAATATAAAAGAAATTACTAAAGCTTTCCAACTATGAGATATTTAATTTTCACGGATTTTCCTCAATTTTCTGACAATTGAAAATAAAACCTTCAAAAAAAATAATAGAACGTAAAATCGTACTAGAAGACTGAAGGCAAATGAAGCTAGAGAGTTAGTTTCTCGTAGAACAAGAGGAAATAATGAGTTTCAATGGACAAAAGTCCAAAAATATTCAGACCTAAAAAACCAATTAGAAAAAGAAAATAAGACAATTTTCAATCAAACCCATTAAACAAAAAGCGTAATCAACTTAATAAGCAAGAAGATACACCATAACGATCACAGATACACAATTAAGTAAATAGCACTTCACGCGAAAACCCATTAGTAAATTGAAGATATAGAGCCTAACAACCACATAAAAATAAGAAGCAAATAGCAGTGTGAGAGATTCGTGTACTTACATTAATGGGCAAAGAATGAATCAGAGGGAGAAAGCACCGCAAGTTTATAAGAGAGTGAGAGGCAGAGTACTATTTTTGATTATCTCCAAATAGGTTTTACGTGATTTTGAAATTATTGTACGTGAAAGATGAGACAGCGCCCCAATCGCGAATAAATTGTTTTCAGTTGTTATTATTTGTTAAAAAATACTCGCTTGCACCAATTGTTACTTGTCAGAGATCTTTATCCACGTGAGAAAAATAAAATAAAATATATGTAGTCCAATTTAATTAAAAAATAATATTCGTTCTATTTGTAAGCGTTTTAAGTCCATCCTCGTTTCTATCAATATATGAATATATGATAAACATGTAATAAAGACGATGTTAATGCATTACTTTGAACAATTTTGCTATTTGTACATCCACCGGCCCCCTCTGTTGTGAAGGGGTGTTAACCCCAAATGTACAAATAGTATAGTTATATTTCGAAATATGACTTGCTACATTTTTATCTATTATAATAAAATTTATTGTTAACGATAATGAGAGAAATGAATAATTGAATATTCGAAACAAAAATTCACTTAGCCCTTTTTTGAGTCCCATTTTGGAGGAAAGAATGAATTTTTGAATAATATATCGATGGGAAATATGTGGTTAAAAAATAAGAAAAAAATTTGAATTTACGCATGATATTATTTTATTGAAAAATGTGTAGTTGCTATGATATTAAAACACCGTTGAAAAACTCAAACAAGGGCTTAAAGTTATGTAGCCATAAGTGCTTCTAACTCGATAGCTATAATATTTATTTATTGATCTTGTGTTCATTTTTCTGTGGCCAATCTTGTAACTAGGGACGGATTTGGCCGGATAATCTTGGCGCCAATTTAATTTTCCCTTCAAAAAATTTTATATATTAGCTCAACTAAAATATTTTTAGAACAATCGTGACTCCATCCCCGTCGTGTAACGAAATACTGTAGTCCCCACCACAAGGAAAGTTGTTCCTGGCCACCAAATGAGGGAAAAATGGTGGAGCAGCCAACTTAAAAGTATATGGAACAAGAAAAGAACAACTGTGCTTTATCGCTTTATCTTCACAACAAGGATCAAACGCTCCATTGAAGCAATGAAATTGGAATAAATTCACAAACTAATTTCCAAGTTTCAAAGAAACATACATGAATACGAGGCGGTGATCAACATAATATCTGTGCATAATATGGAAAAATGTTGAATCTTACGAATTAATAGCTGAAATAAGAGATTCAATTAATCAAGATTAAGAACAAGAGTAACGAATACTATTGGTGGCTGCAATAAAATGGCGACGAGGCCTGTAGGAACAGGTGGTGCTACTCCTCATCATTCCCGGTTTCATTACCGATCAGAATATGAAATCTTTCAGCCGATGTCGGAATGGCAACAAAATGAGGAATCTGATATTCTGATTCTTTATCTCCCCGGTACAATGATGATCGTGATTTTCGCTTTTTCTTTCCTAATTCCTATCTACTTTCATTATTTAACGTCATATACCACCATTAGAATATGTCACATTTTGTAGTTAAATTTTTTTTCTGATTCCCCCAGGTTTCATGAAGGAGCAGCTTAAGGCTGAAACTGACCGGAATATTGTCAGGGTTATTGGAGAACGCCTAGTTGCTGGTAACAAGTGGAACCGCTTCCGAGAGGAATTTCAGATTCAAGAAAACTGTGAAACGAAATCAATTCATGCAAAGTTTCAAGGAGGAATTCTCACCATTACACTGCCAAGAAAGACTGGTGGTACTATTGGAGACAAAGACAAAAAGAGAGACTTCCAACAACCTGTCCTCCAATCAAAGACAGGAAGTGATTCGAAGCCTCAACAAGAACACGATAATAGTCCTGACAAGAAAAGTTTAGAAACCTTGACCCCTCAGAAGTCACAATTTAAGGAAGAAAACGACAGAAAGAAAAATGATGAAGCAAAAGCAAAGACTGCTATATCAGAAAAACCGCTTGAGAAGATTGTCGAGCAGGAACGGAGGAGCACAGAAAAAAGTGAATTACCAACCGATGCTGAAATTGTCACCAAAATGATTGTTGAGAAGGAAAATACAAAGAAAGATAAAGCAATTGAGGACAAAGAGTCGAAAGGAAAACAAAGAACCAATCCATCTATCATTGATAGTGCTATCCTTACACTCGAAAAGTATAAGAAAGCAGTGAAAGGGTTTGCTGAGTGCAAGGAAAAGAGACGACTTTTGGTGAATATGGGTGCGACCGTGCTAGTTATTATGGCACTTGGTGTTCTTGTCTCCTACGCCATTAAATCTGGGAAAACTGAACACTAAATTCTCTACAATGTCAATGTATTTGTATAAGTACTTCTAATAAGTCCTTTGTTCAAATATGTAGAAAGACTTCCACAGCAAAAACAAATGTAGAATAGAAATGTTTTCAAATAAACAGTTGAATTTTATAAGAATCTATCTCCCTTCTTTCAAAAAAAGCACAAAATTTATCGCTGGGGTAATCTTGTAGAGTTCTGATACATCATTCCCAACCAATAAGAAGCTGTCGAGGCTTGTTCTTCGTGTATTCCAGTTTGAATCTGGGCCATTCAATGTGTTACATTACAGAAAACTATTTCATGTCAAATTTTCAAGCACTACAAGGTAGAAGATTATAATTGCTCCATTCGTCACTGTTCACTGCTAACAATTCATAAAAAGGGATACGATTTGCTATATGCATTTAACAATAAATGGAGAATCCAATTCCTCAAGAATTCAGCCTCATGAATCGATAACAAGAACTCTAAAAGCCTGCTTCTGTAATTAATTAACAGTTTTGCTGACCTACAAATAAAAGGAGATTCAAGCACTACAAGGTAGAAGATTATAATTGCTCCATTCGTCACTGTTCACCGCTGACAATTCATAAAAAAGGGATACGATTTGCTATATGCAGTTAACAATAAATGGAGAATCCAATTTCTCGAGAATTTCAGCCTCATGAATCGATAACAAGAACTCTAAAAGCCTGCTTCTGTAATTAATTAACAGTTTTGCTGACCTACGAATAAAAGGAGATTTAGAGGATGAGAGCTGAGGTGAGTATAGTTTTATCTCAGTTTTTTTATTTGGCCAAATTTCCCCGGTAAGTTGATTGATCAATTATTTTATTTTGAAAGAGATTCATCAAGGTCCGTTTGATTTCAAGAATAGAATTTGGGTGAAAAGAAAACGAATTTCAGGAAATTGAATTATTTAGAACTTGTTTTATTGGAAACTGTCAATTAAATGTGTTTGATTGGTAAATTTTTCACCTGAAAAATATTGAAATATTAGATCTTTTAATGTTTGTTTGGCTTTATTTTCATGAAAATTGTCAATTGAAGTGATAAAATTTTCTTCAATTGCAGAGGAAAAAAAACTTGTAAAATAAAAAACCACCAAACTCATGGGAGAACCAATGAGTGCAAAGAAAAGAGACGACTTTTGGTGAGTATGGGTGCGACCGTGCTAGTTATTATGGCACTTGGTGTTCTTGTCTCCTACGCCATTAAATCTGGGAAAATTGAACACTGAATTCTCTACAATGTCAATGTATCTGTATAAGTACTTCTAATAAGTCCTTTGTTCAAATATGTAGAAAGACTTCCACAGCAAAAAGAAATGTAGAATAGAAATGTTTTCAAATAAACAGTTGAATATTATAAGAATCTATCTCCCTTCTCAAATTTTCAAGCACTACAAGGTAGAAGATTATAATTGCTCCATTCGTCACTGTTCACCGCTGACAATTCATAAAAAAGGGATACGATTTGCTATATGCAGTTAACAATAAATGGAGAATCCAATTTCTCGAGAATTTCAGCCTCATGAATCGATAACAAGAACTCTAAAAGCCTGCTTCTGTAATTAATTAACAGTTTTGCTGACCTACGAATAAAAGGAGATTTAGAGGATGAGAGCTGAGGTGAGTATAGTTTTATCTCAGTTTTTTTATTTGGCCAAATTTCCCCGGTAAGTTGATTGATCAAAATTTTTTATTTTAAATTTGAGGTCTATTTACAGGTGGTAAACAAATTTTATATAATTTCAGTATTCTTTACAATCTTGCATTTTATCACTCTAATCTCTTTAGCAATATAATTATACAATTATCTCTTTCTTGTATGGTTAACAATATATATTATGACATATGCAGCATTTCATATTTGTTTAACATTTGAATATAACTGTTGTGTTTTAAGTCTTTACAATCAATGATACAATATGATGTTCATAAATTTGAAGGTACTTTATGTAAATTATGGAGGCACAGAGAACCGCTTTCAACGTAATTCTCCTCGTATTCATTGAAGTTGTTTCGATTAATGATGAGTACAATATATGCTCTCTCTTTTTTATAATATGTCAAATATATTTGCGTGACTGCATCTTTTATTCAATGTGAATCATATTTCCTTACTTCAATTTTATTATACTTTAATTGTTAAATATTTGTTAGCGTTCTTACAGTACAGCCATGAGGATCCTCTATTTTTCCAATTGTGTGTTACGATGAAAAACACTTTTCAAATTTCTTTTTTTTTTTTTCGAACATGTACCAATTATTTTTTCCTAGCTCCAATATTCATTCCTCATCTCAAAGTTGTGGGATTGAATATTGCTTTCAGTTGATTCATTATAAATTAGGTTTTACCTATGAAATAAATATATCCTCGCTGTAAAAGAATTACGAAATTGTGTATTGTTGTGTATTATGTACTTCAGTTGTAATTATATTAGATGTAATTATTTAACTTTCTGATTTTGAAAAGGAATAATTGCAGTTGCGCCCTTGAACCTTTCAAAGAAATGCAAATTTTCCTCTAACATTTCATTTGTTACAATAGTTACCTCAAATCTTTCAAAATGTTGCAGCGAAAGCTTTACTAGATGGATTCTATCAATTTTTCCATCGGTTGATCCAAAAATTATGTTTTACTATACTTTTAATAATTCTAACGAGGGTAAAATGATAATTTCATACTTACAGAATTAAAATAATTAAAACAAAACAAAACAAAAAAACTAAACGTTCATCTTCCCAAATCCTCCCCCACTCCACGCCACCCTCCCAGCACCAAACCAACCCACAACTCCATCACCAACTACGCCTCCATTAAAGGGAGCTAAAAACTAACCCCCCCCCCCCCGAGGAAAACCCCCAAATTTAGACCGAAAAAATGGGGCACTATTATTTTCATCCACATTTTTTATATATGCATCCTACTCTATATACATCCCTATTAAAATTTTAAAATTTTAAAAAATTACTATTTTTATCCACATGAAATTTCAATATTGTTCGTATTAAATTCATTCATTAAACATCATAGATTCATACAAATTTTATATATTCATTCTACTATAAATACATTCCTAATAAAATTTTGAAAATCATTATCAACATTTAATTTGGTTTTTAGTTTCTTACTTTTATTTTCTATATTTTCATGTCGGTATTTTAATATTTAGTTATAAAGGTTGGAAATACCCTGTTTGATTATCATTTTTATTAAAATATATTTTTCTCTCTTTTCTTTTTAACCACGCATTCTTTATTAAAATAATATTACACGTAAAAAAAAAATTTCCTTATTTTTCATCAATACATTCTCAATCAATCTACTATCCTAAAATTCATTTTTTCCCATTAAATGGATGTCAAATACCTTCCAAATCTCTTTTGTTATTATTATTTTTTTTAATTTATAGGATTCTCTCAAAAGTATACTGTTCACACGACCAAACAAATCCCCCATCGAATCATATATTAATTTTTTTTTTTTGCTTATAAACTCATAATTTTGGCTGTTTGTGTTTCAGTGGGTAATTTTAAGTTTTTTTTCTTTTATAATGGAAAAATATTTGAACAAGTATTAAAACTTATTTTGAAATTTTTCGTATATTTTCATCTATCAAATCAATACTTGAAAAAATGCATAAAAAATAATATTCCATTTTTCATATCATGAAAAAAATTATAATTCTAATAATGTGTTGATTTTATTTATTTATTTTATTTTTATTTTTATTGAAGAGGATATTTTAGGATTGGGGTTTGATGATTTTAGTTAAAGATAATGTTTCATGAATATTAGAATTTTAGTTAAATACAAACTCTAAAAGAATATAAAAAGTATTTATGAAAATAAACATTGGTGGATGAATTTAGAACAATATGTTTTTATTTAATTTTATATATGTCTAGATATAAGATCATAAATGTAATATAATTATCTTTTTAAAAGTGGATGTATGTATAAAACCTGTCAAAATGTAAAAAGAGTACCCATAATGTTTTCAAGGCTCGAAGAAAATAGATATGGTGTGTGCAAACTGCAACCTCTTGCTCCTCTAATGGAAGGGCCAGATTCCAACATGCAGAATCAAGAAGGAAGCACTTGTTAACACCTTCGTAAAACAAGAAGATAAGAAACAAATCGACCCAAAACCGAACCAAAGGCTTGATTTGCAGTCATCGCCATCAATTGATTCTAATCCCAAATCAACCACAAAATTATAAGTTCAAAAGTCCGTCATTGTATTTTGATCAATTCTGGTTTTCAATCTCTTTAGAGGGGAATGCGATAGCAATCGAAGCTCTCGATGTGGGGAGATTATAAGGCGACCTCGGGGACAAAGTAGATGCAGGAGATGGAATGGATATTTTCGATGAAGAAGGGGCTATTTCAAGAGAGAGTTGAGGAACGTTACTCCTGTTTCTTCACAATAATAGCGGATTTGGGAGAATCTTGAGGCCGATTTGGTTCAACTTCAAGTCTCATGTTGATGAGATGGCGGTGTAGATTCTATGGTTTGGATCTAATTTTGAGCTTAGATCTTGAGATTTTCAGTTGTTTTCTTGGTAGAAGAAATGTGACGACTTTAGGCGGCGGTGGTCGATAGTAGGGATGGCAAAAAAATCGTTCAACCCGATACCTGTGGGCCCACCTCGAATGGGATGGGGGTAATACCCACCTAATTGGATACATTGAATGGGTACGGGCGCAAGGGTCATTATCCTGAAACTGGTATGTGACAGGTACAAGAAACATAGTCCCAGTCCCATTACCCGCTCCATTTAATATTAATTTCAAATTTAAGTTTTTTATCAAACAAAAATAATAGATTTATCATTTTTTTAAAGAGAACATAATTTGTTTTTAATAAATTGGTAAAAAAGTAATACTATTTATTAGTTAAGGACATAAAAAATAAAAATAAAAAATAAATGAGACGATAAATGGGGCAGGAGACTTGCCTCGTCTTGCCCTGATCCTAATGATGGCAAAAAA